TCACACAGTAGCGTTGACTGAAATAGCTTGCTGTGATACACACTTTGGGCTGTGATGAATAAAAATGCGTGCTTAAAATTTTTAAAATTGTAATTGCTATTAAATACTGCTAACAATATTTAAAACTTATTTAACAAAAGAAAAGCTCCTTAGGGATTGAGAGCCAAGGGCACTGCGCCACTTGTTTGAGCTGATGAGTGTACCACCTAGTGCGCATGCGTCATTCATGCACATGCGAGGGCTTCTTACATAGTTTCCACTGTACGTGCGTGAACATGTTTCTACTAAAGCGTATGGTTATGAATGCATTTCTTTACAATTGACTCTTCTGAAAACAAGCTGAAAAAGACTAGTGTGTGTGTGCGTGCATGTTTGCGTGTGACTATGTTGTTTCAGTGGAAAAATGTAAATTCACTATCCGGTAGTTTCCTCTATCCTTTGTGCATTATTCAATTACCCATTTGCATTTTGGATTTCCCATCGGCTAATATTGGTGCAACAGAGATTAGTAAGTATATTTTATTGTGTACTGTTAGCCATAGCCAAATGTGAATCTTATATATTAATTTCAATAAGGAAACCAGGGATGCTTAAGACTGGGGTCGGGAACCTATGGCCCATGAGCCAAATTTGCCTCACGTGTCATGGCTAAAAATTATGGTTGCTCATATTTCTCACTTATCAAAGAATGCATATGTTTGTTGTCAACTTCAGGGAAAATTCTGTTTCGAAAATCTGACCTCATTCGAAAGACTTTTTTCCTCTCATATTCATATCACATCACCTCATGAACTTGAAGGTTATAACATCCGAGATCGGGTGAGAATCACGCTGTAAGCCTCATTTCTCCTTAAAAAGTTTAACGAATCTCGAAACGAGTCGATACTCGGGTCAAGCGTTACAGCGTCTTCTCTATTACGTCTATGAATTCATCGCCTGCAGGCTAAAATCAGACCAGCAAAACTGAACCTTCTTGAGAGCTTAGACACTAACTGAGCTCTTGTGAAAATGTCCCGATTTAAATCTCACTTCAATGGGATGCGAGAACAAGTGATGAGATGAGCAGAGATGATACAAGTGGCAAGGAGGAAGCGTGAGTATCTTGTAAGAATTTATTCTGCTGTGGGTTCATGCAGTTTTCTTTCGACTGGAAGAGTTTTCCACGAAATCCCTTGAGCCATGTCGTTTCTCGACCTTGAAGATTTGACGCCTTTCTTCAGCCCTGAAGGGATCACCCCCTTTCACCCATCATTTATTACATCGGGCTAGGATAATCGCTTTTAAATACACCGTTGCCCGTACAAAAATCTCACCGGTTATTCACCGTTGAATCAACGTTGATTCAACGTTGAATCAACGGTGAATCACCGGTGAAATGTGTTTCAACGTTGAATCAACGTTGATTCACCGGTGAATCAACAGTTAGGTGCGTTTCCTCTAGATCTGAAGGGTCCCCTCCCAATGCATTGGCAAGTGTTTCATTGGACACTGCATTTCTCTGCTTTATGGTCGGCGCTTCGTTTTCAATTTGTGGAAGCTCTTCAATATTATCGGAAACTGATGAACATTCCACCTCTCTTTCGAAACTTTGATATGATTTTGGAATGTTTACTGTCTGCATATTCGTATCGAGATCATGCTAGTAATTTTTTTTCCCTACAGAAGAGTATATAGTATATTATACTACCCATCTCTGTGAAGCGAGACTTTGCTATTTGTCCCATGACACTAGTTTGTTTACGCAAGAGAACTCATTTTTTTTACTTCGACCCCACATTTTTCCTTGAACAACTTCCCAGAGTAAACACCATGTAGATCTTCACCTTTGACTTGACTTGGTGCGCAAGAATTTGTTCTAGGCCATGAAATATTTTTTTCCTTTTTGAGATTTTTTCATTCCTTTGACGTTGATCCATGTGATGAAGTACTTTTGGCATTCTCTTTATTTTAAGGCATTGCATTTTTATAAACATAAATACTCTTTAAATGAAAAAGCAAATAATAAATTAAATGAAAATATGAATTTATTTATATGATATTCATATTTTTATTTTTATTTATTTTTGCTACAGCGTCCCCTCCTGGAATCCGCTTCTGCCTAGTGACTGTTCTAGCCTATGGCTTTGCTTTGGTTGTATTTTAAGTTTTCTATTCCCTTCAAGTATAGATTTTTCTTCGCAATCGTTTTTCCGTTTTTATTTATTTATTGCTGATTTTGTTTGGGGTCTCCTTTTTGCCATGCATGGGATTTCCAACTGTACAATTAATTATCTTTTTCATCATTTTCGTTTCGTTTGTTATGATTCTTTTTTCAAGTGTTGGTTTTTTTCGTTTGTTAATATTTTTCCTTTTATATTTTTTTCATGATTTTTCTTTTCTCTTGGTTTGGAGTCTCCTTTTTTCCTGCATGGATTTTCCTCCTGTATAATTATTTGTATTTTTCTAATTATTTTCTTTTCGTTCATTGTTACATATTGGCATGCAACCCCATTCGTTTTTTGCTACAATATTTTGCTTTTTCGTATTAATTCCTTTTCCACCATTAGTTGCTTTATTCAGGACAGCATGGAATTTTTTTACGTTTCAAATTCCTTTAGAATACCGTGCTGATATCAGTCCATGAAGAAATGAATAAACTGTTATTCCAGAAAATGTGTTCACACTGTCATTTCAAGCACCCCTGATTACCTTCTGAGCACCATCCCATTCCAGATGAATCCATAACACATATGATGACTCTCAACGAATCATGGAGCTTCCACTTAAAAACTTTTCAGATTTTTGAATAAGAGAGAGGATAATGAGAGAGAGAGAGAGAGAGAGAAAAAAAAAATTATTAGCCCCAATATCTCTTTGGCACGCGTTGGACCCTGCAGTGGACATCTCTCCCCCTGAGGAGTACTCCGCCAACTGTAGTCTCGCACATATCCAGATGATGGCGAAACTGGCGATCATGCCCCACAAAGCCGTTATTGTGTTCATAATTCTACCCTTGCAGAAATTTCTCCGCTTTTGGGTGAATCCCTTCATCATCTTTTTCTTTTGACTGCAGAGGCCATGAGTTGTTTCAACTGGTTGGTCGTCACTACCTGGTCCTGGAATCAGTAGCGTAGCCAGGTTTTCGTCAATGGGGGGGCTAAGCGGAAAGTTGGGTGGGCTAACTTCGCCTCGTCGGGGTGGGGCAGACGCATTTCGACCAGAGTTGGGGGGGCCTGAACCAAACTTGGGGGGGCTGAAGCCCCCCCCCTCGCTACGCCACTGCCTGGAATGCAGGGCAAATACTCGCAACATGATAACAAGAGCGTCAAGGCTAACGGGAGTTACCTGCCATCTATCCCGTTAGGTAGGTACTGCAGCTTAGTGTAAAGGAATACAGAGCGCGGCGACGTGGTGTTGCATGGTCTGGGAAATGGGCGGGGCCTCTGAGAGATTGGGTACCCGCTTCAGCTCTTGGTGCTGGGGAGGGAGCTAGCTTCAGCTTCGGGCAACAGCTAGTAGACGAAGGCGGGAATATTTGTCGTCTGCTCGTGCATCTCAACTTCACGTGGTGAGCACCACAACCGCTCCCTACAAGTATGCATTTGTTGGTCTTGAGTGCTGGACTCGTAGAATAAGGTCACGGCTTGAATCCTAAGGAAATATCTCGTGCAACTCTACCAGCTACGTTCAGGTGGATTTGGAATACGTTCGCGCTAGGCTGAGGCCAAACCAATTTCTTTGAGTTTGGCCTAACGTTAATTCAATCGCATACTGTTAAGCATTGCATCTCAGAGCTCTCCAAGAGGCGCATATGATTGATGCGAATGCATTTGCCAAACGTATGCTTGCGATTGCCTGTAGCTTAACTTATTGGTGTTCTCTTTGACTTCCCTCAGAAACTTGAACGAAGGAAAGAAGGTATGCTGAACATTTTGGTGGTGGTCTGAATCTTGTGAGTGCTTGTGGTGCAGGCGTTGAATATAAAGATTTTTGTAATCATGGTTTGGAAAGTTTCAGTGGGTAATTACTTTATTCTCCAATTTGGGTTAAATTTCATGAAGTTCTTGTGTAACATCACCAACTTCAATGTGCATAATTGTTGTAATCAATAACCCCAAAACACCAACTTTTATCAGGCTCCACATCATCCCTTGGAAACCTATTTGAAGTATTAAATTTGCATATCCTTTCAACACTTATTTTTCGTTTCAAATGTATTTCATGTATTAATCATTTATTTTTGTTTCCTTGATTAAGACTTGAAAAGTCCAAAACTAGTTTATTATGAAATGTATTTTTTTCCCAGCATCATGATTTTCATTCTATTCTATTCAGTTGTGCTGTTTCTTGTGCAAGGCATACAATACAGGCTATTCTCCAGCATACCGATTTCATCAGTACATGCTGAACTGTAGCAACCTGTTCTTTATCATTGCCTCCAATCAAGAGGTATTATTATTATACATTAATCTGGGTAGATGAGGTATGTGTATAACATATAATACCTTAACCAAATCTGCCCATCTGTTGCCTTGTTACAGTTCCTGGCTAGCTTTTCTGTTGCTGCCAAAAATATCAGGGATCAGCATGGAAGTTGATCAACCTCCAGCTGAAAGTGATGCAGACCCTGGGAGAGTGAAACAAAAGGAAACAAATTTGCCAGGACCATCTGGAAAAGGATCATCTTTGCCATGGTGAGATCTCAATTGTTGGAGTTTTCACACTTAGAGTGAATGGGGAGAACAAAGGTGGCAGGAATTGGGAGGAGAACATTAAGGTAGATGTGAATCTATGAAACAATGGTACTGGTCTCTATTGTGTGACAAGGACCTTACAGATTTAGCACTTCAATTTGACACATTTCTGAAGTGGTTGCAACACCTGTTGCCTTTACCTCTCTATTTCTCCCATGCCTCAATGTTTGTCAGTTAAAAACAGGCAAAATTATAAGGAATAAACAATTTTTTTGTGGAAAAGTTGCAAAATTTGTACAAAAGTAATAGAGTATGAAGAATATATCAATGCATGCCTATTTTTGGTTGATTTTGAGCAGGATCGAGAAGTACCGCCCTACAACATTCAGTGACATTGTGGGAAATCAAGAAACTGTGAGCCGCCTTGCTGTGTTTTCCGAGACTGGCAATGTTCCTAATATCATCATTGCTGTGAGTTCTTTCAATCAGTTCCTCTCCTTTCCTTCTGTTTCTCTCTTATGAAGATGAGAACCATGTGGATATTGTTAAAGAATGAAAATGAATTGTTTGATGAAAGGGTCCACCAGGTGTGGGGAAGACAACCACAATCCTCTGCCTGGCCCGAGCCTTGTTAGGTCCTTCTTTTCGAGAAGCTGTCCTGGAACTCAATGCCTCAAATGACAGGGGTATTGATGTTGTGAGAAACAAAATTAAGATGTTTGCACAGCAAAAAGTCTCGCTGCCAAAGGGCCGACATAAGATCATTATCTTGGATGAGGCTGACAGGTGAGAATCATGGATAATACACTATTGGTATATTCTCATTTATGTTGGAAACTCTTTGTTTCACTCATTGCTTGGTTTGATATCTACAGCATGACAGATGGTGCCCAACAGGCATTGCGACGTACCATGGAAATCTACAGTAAGACTACTCGTTTTGCACTGGCATGCAACACAAGCGAGAAGATCATTGAACCGATCCAGTCTCGCTGTGCTATGCTTCGCTACAGCAAACTCACAGATGCCCAGATTGCTGACAAACTGGTTGAAGTCTGCAAAAAGGAAAATGTGAGTCTCATTGAGCCTTTTTTTTTATATTGAAGGAAGAAGAAAACTTCTTGGGTTGATTATTTCTCATGTATTTCTTCCCAGGTTGATTATGTAGATGAAGGCCTGGAGGCAATTGTGTTCACTGCTCAAGGGGACATGAGACACGCTTTAAATAATCTACAGGCAACATATGAGGGTTTCCACTTTGTGAATAGTGAAAATGTGTTCAAAGTGAGCTTCCTCCTTCGCATTCAGATGTCTCCTTCATGATTTTGGATTTTCTAAAGATTTTTTATTCCACTGCAATTTTAGGTGTGTGACGAGCCTCACCCCCTGTTGATTAAGGATATGCTTCAGCATTGTGTATCTTCAGATATTGATGAGGCATACAAGGTGAGAAGCATGAGAACTTCCCATAGAGGTAAAGTGGCACTGCACTTTTTTCCCCCAAGTATCAGGCTGAAGCATGCAGAATAAAACCAGCATTTGTCGAAACTACACCCACTGATGCTCCCCATATAAATTCCTAAATTTTTTCCCCTGAACATCAACTATTAAGTTCATATTGCATTTCACAATTTAAACATGCTTATCCTTTAGCCAGGTTTTGGATAGGGTAAATGAAGTTAACTGCCTACTGTAAATGGGCTAAGCTCATCAGCACTTATCCACAAACTCTAGGGCCTGCATCTGAAAAATACAGGAATGATTTCAATATAATCCAGCATGCTGTGCTGTCCAAATTGTATTGCTGGGTAGCATGCTTCATCTAGCTAATGTTCTGCATATTTCTTGATGCATTACAGGGTTGTAGCTACAGCTTCCCATAGAGTATGAACTCAGCCTGATGGAGCTGAATTTAGTTTGAGATGCCACTAATTTTCATCTCTCCATTGGAGCTAGGAAATTCTGATTCTAAGATATCTAGATGTATGCTCAAATTTAAAATATAGTCTGCATCCTTAGGTAGTCTAAACCTTTCATATAACCCACACTTTGGTGAACTGATTAGACTCATGGGCATTTTGTGGTTCAGGGTGTCTCCAAAAGAAGGTTGACATTTTCTTACTTGTTTCCAAGTTTTGGAGGCTTCTTTGAGAAGAAAAATGGTTTTTTATATTTTTTTTTTATGGAAAGGTGAGGAGCTGACTAGTTTCTTTCCAACAGGGAAAAAATAAATACTATGGGGGCTTTTTGAGTGACCTTTGTCTGGCCATATACTCTGCTTCTCCAGAAGCTCATAATTTACATTTTCAAGCTTAGCACCAGAAGATGCTGTGACTGTGTGCACAGGCATCAAACTTGAATAAAGCTGGTGCATATAGTCCAGGGCTAAATAAGCTAATTTGCTCTGCATTTTTCTGTCTGTTAAACAAATGGCAAGGTGGTATTTAAATGACAGTCTCCTGTTTCTTTCCATATGGGGGGCAAAGAAAATTAGGAAGAAACTTATTGCTTTTATTCACATTTGTGTTCTTCTGTTTGAACAGATCCTGTCTCATCTGTGGAAACTTGGATACTCAACTGAAGACATCATCACCAACATTTTCAGAGTGTGTAAAACCCTGCAAATGGCTGAATACCTCAAGCTGGAATATCTGAAAGTAAGGTTCTTGTAGAAACATCTAGGTGATTCAGTGGTCCTGTATTTGGGAAGTACAGTGAACACCAAGATGTCACTTTTCTTCTCTGTGTAGGAGATCGGGATGTGTCACATGAATATTTTGAAGGGGAATCAAACCCTCCTCCAGCTTTCCGGTCTGCTGGCCAGACTTTGCGAGAAAACCCTTCCACGAAAGGATTCCAAATCATGATGGATCATTCCATGTTTTCTCTTGAAGTGGTCGCTTTTAAAAGTGAAGCATGTCTTTCTCAATAAATAGGAAAAACCCAATTGTGTCCTTTTGAGGAAAATCTATTCACATCACATTCACCTTGCATACTGCTCAAACATACAGCAAAAACTCATCACAGGTATAATGAACACTACTGCCATCATTCCCATTTGTCAGATTTTCGGAGGTGACTGAAGTCTGATTCGATGAGGCGACTATCTAAAAACAACTTACAAGCTTCCTTTCTTCTCAGAGTTTTCTCTGAGTCAGGCCTCAGCTCCTCCTCCCAGCCTTTGTCTTGCTCCTGCAACAATGAATCAGCATTAAGAATTATTAGTTGTGCAAGATTTTATATTTCCCAATTGTTTAGTGTAGCTTTTAGGATTCTAAAAACGATCTGTATGCTGAAACCTCTCCACATGTGAATTCAGAACAGAGGGCAGAACATTTCCACCATATCTAGGTTCTAGGCCTGTGCCATGAAAGTGCACAAGGAAATTTCAAAGTTAGTATGTTTATTCCCAGAATCTAGTGTCAGCATTAAATTGTGTAATACATTCAAGCGAAGAGGAAAAAATGTTTCTTTTGAAATTTTAGTAAGTCACAAGAACACATATCTGGATTTGGGTTCAATCCTATTATATGAAGGTGTTCCTCCAGCATTCCACTCTCAAATTCCCCAAGTCTAGGGTGAGAAGTTTTGAAATGAGAAAGAAGACAATAAAAAAGTTTATTGCTTTGAGAAAAGAAGACACAAAATAATGAGATGACATTGGAGTTGGAGAAGATGAATGCTGAACTTATCCAGGTTACTGACACATTGTCTCTGAGAACACGCTTGACTTCTATTGAGAAGGAAAAGGTGGACTGGAACACCTCTAAATAGTGGAGGGGCATCTTTAATGTAGCAGACTTGGTTTTTGTATTGCTTTGGTGATAATACACTCAGGAAACTAGCACCAGACTTTGCATAGTTATGAATATAATCCTCAGACAGGATGAACCTTTGAAAGTTATCTCAAGTTCCATTGAATGGCAAGAATAGATGTATGAATCCAAAGGTGAGAAGGGATGGAGGAAGATTGCTTATTGTTTGAAACTATGTTAAGATTGGCTTTCTTTGACTTGAAAGACATGGCCTTTTGGAAGGCCCATTTGAATATGTAGAATGAGTCCCTTTTGAATGATGTCATTTTTACAGATTTGAAAAAGATTAATTGCATGGAAGTGGACCTTCTATGGGGAGGGGATAGTACTAGGTTGTCCCAAAATTCTGGGGCAGCTGCGGAAAAATCAAATGTCGGGTGATACTATCGAGGTTCGTGTTTTGTTGCATCACTACTGGAAGAAAGGACTTTCCACAAGAGCTGCTGCCAAGGAAATCTGCGGCATCGAAGGAGAAGGAACGAGCAAGTCGGCCGCTGCATGCTGGTTCAAAAAGTTCAATGACAGCGACCTCAGCCTCGAAGACAAGCCTCATTCTGGCCGACCATCAACATTTGACAAGGATGCATTGCGTTCCGCTCTGGAAGACGAGCCATTGTCAAGCACTCGAGACTTGGAGGCGGTTCTTGGAGATGGCAAGTCAACGGTTCATTGTCATCTGCAACAGCTCGACTTTGTGCACAAAAAGTCCCGGCAGGATCCTCATGAGCTGACAGAAGCACAGGCCCGGAAGTGAGTCGAGATTTGTCGTCAGTTGCTCGAGAACCCATTGGACGACCAATTTTGGAAGTGCATTGTGACGTCTGATGAGAAGTGGGTCTATTTGGTCAACCACAACAAGCAAAAGCAGTGGGTCCCACGAGGTCAAGAAGCGCAGCCAACAGTTCGACTGGATCATTTTGGCAAAAAGGTGATGCTTTCGGTTTGGAGGAACTTTGAGGGTGTAGTCCACTTTGAGCTGGTTCTGAATGGTCGAGCCGTGAACGCCCAACTGTACACTGAGCAACTGGACCGAGTCTACAACGTGCTGAAGGAGAAGTGCCCGGTCTTGATTCGACACAAGCGAGCTTTGTTTCAGCAGGACAACGCCCTGGCTCACCACGCAAGAATGACGCAGGAGAAGTTCGAGGAGTTGGAAGGAGTTGAAGTTCTGCCGCATCCTGCCTACAGTCCTGATACTGCTCCATCCGACTTTGGCCTGTTTCAATCTATGGAACACTTTCTGTGTGGATGGCGCTTTGAATCTTTTGATCAAGTCGAGGAAGCATGTCAGGAATTTTTTTACTTGAAGCCCAAAGAATGGTACTTCAAGCAGATCAATGGCAGAAGATCGTTGAGAACGACAGCCTTTATTTTGAAGAATAGTTGTTAATTTTTATTTGAATTCACGCATAAAAATTGATTTTTTTGCAGCTGCCCCAGAATTTTTGGGACAACCTAGTACAATATACTTTTGGATGCCTCATGTTTGCACAGGCCATTCTCATGCCTTTTAAGTCTTGCTTTCTTGTATAATCCCAAATATTACTACTTTGTTTTAGAGGAAGTAGCAGGAAAGGAAAGAAGTACTGAAGGAATTCACACCTGGATTCCTATTAGTTTTTTTGCAATAAATGACTTTTCCTATAACAACGTTTTGTGGTAAATTCCTTAAATGGTCACATCCTGGAAAAGGCATACAAGCAGACATTGATTTATGTGTACCCCATCAGCCCAGATAGAAGAATGAAGCCAATGGGAGATGAATGTATTTTCAATAGTCAAGACCATACAACCAATCCACTTAAGGCCATTACAATTAATAGTTTTCACATTATGGTATTGACTTTGGAAAAATAAATCATATGTTCAATGATAAGTGGATATATCTAAGCACCAAAACTGATATCAACATCGATGGTATATAAAAATTTACCTATGTGATGAGAAATTTCTAATCATATGTAACCAGTTGCAGAGTGCCATACCAAAGATTTTCAACTGAAATTTAGTAACATGGTAAGTAGAAACCTCAACCATGGAGCCTACTGGGATGAGAACAGCAAGTGATGACTCCCACACCCTTACTATCCAGTGATATCAAACTTTACTGTTTCAGCCATACTTGCAACATTGATGGGATTCAGTAAAAGAGACTAGTGGCTCTCATCTATCATTGCTGCATCCCAAATGCATGGAGAAGCACATTTATCCAAGTTATTTGCTTTGCCACTTGTTGACTTCATTTCATGAAGATACAGCTTTGAACAATTTCTACTGTGATATTCCAGTTTCCCTGCATATACTCCTTCAGCTGGAGTTCTGGTCATAAGTGTCTCTGCTTACTGATATATGATGGATATTTTATTTAGGTTATTTAGAATTTTGGCATGATTTGTTTCAGAACTTCATACTCAGGGACTACCACTTAATGAAAATAAATACCTTTTCAATGCATATCATTGGCTAATGTACTCTCCATGTACATCCCTCCATTATTGTAGAATAATTATTTCAAAGGAACAGAATAATCCAAGTTCTGATAAGAAACCTAATCCTGTGAGAAATGGAAACAAGAAAAGCAGGGTGTCAACTCACTTGTGTCAGATAGGGATGACGAAGGTAGAACATGTTCTTCTCATCTCTCTCCAGGGCATTCTTCAGCCTCTCCAGATGCCTATCGTGCACCTTGAATAGTTTCCGATGCTTTCTGCAAGATACACATATGGCTTTTAACACCACACAGATCAGGGTTTCTGCACTCACTTTGGGTACAATGGAACACTAGTTTTCAGTTTACCTCCTCAATAATTTTCCAGGATTTTTATGGCCTCATTATAAGAAACATTCTGCACTTGTAAAAAAACCATTTCTTCACCATTTGGCATCTCTCCAAATAATGTTTATTATGCTATTGACAGATGCTTGTCAAAGATGAATGAGTCTATGCCTCGGCATTTCACGAAACAGGGACACCTTAAAGAATGATGATTTTTAAAATGACCATGGAGATACAACAAGAAGCAGTTCTACTTTTTACTTATACTCAAGAAGCATTTTTACTTAATAAGAATGAGGCTCCCAATTTGTTTCGGTTGGTGCAGTCGGCCTGACTTGGTCAAAAGTGTCGAGCCGCAGTGCCATTGGAGAACAGGTTGGCCCGAGGTCAACACGGTGTTGGGAATGCAAGACAAATAAGGAGTGCATGAAAGATCCAGTGTTTTTGCAATGAGTTCACACACCTCCATAAAGGTACTGGCATTATTGGCGTTTCAATTCTCAGGACACCAACTAAATGCCAGTTTGTATTTTAAGTAAAACTTTGGCTGAAATTGGTTCTGCCTGTCAGCAAGTCCTAACAAAATAATGGTTTGCATGAAAAAGGAGAGTAAATACATCATGAAAATACTGTAATGCAATACAGTTTTAATAAGACCTGTGATAAGCAAAGACAATTCCAAGGTAAGCTGTGAGTTACTTCCAACCTCGATACAACCCATCAGGACTGCAGCAACTTGCAAATGAATGAACAACACCTTTAAAATGAAACCACAAGCTCCATTGGCTTTCTGGAAGATATTCCCTTATCTCCTTTCTTCATATAGAATGCAAGATGAATGCAAGAAGTTTTGAAATTTAACGATAGCTGGAATTTACTTAGGCCCTGAAGTGTGTATCCAGTCCCTAGGGCTAGCCTGGAATGCAGCATTGAAGGAGCCATATATTTTAAATGGTTTGGCAACGGTATGCAATAACTTCCTAATATCTCGGCTACATTTAGTGTCATAGAGATCTGTAGGTCATTGGCCACCTTAGTGACATGAGCTGGTAGGTCTATTAAAATCAAGTTGAGGCTGACATTCCTAAAGTTCTGAGGAATGTTGAGACACTTTCATTCAAGATGAGGTTTCTTACCCTGCGAAGACCAGACCGGGAGGTCCGTGGCCCCGAAACAGCACCAGCGCTAATCTCATGTCGAAATTGCCGAAGAGCTCGGCGCACTAAATGCTGAAGGCAGGGAGATGAACATGAAACTAGAGGTGCTCTCGGGCTCTACCTCGCCGCTTCAGCCCGCAGGTCGATTCGTACCCGCACGGACATGCGAGACCACAAGTGGCAGGCACCGCAACTTATCCCGCCTCATCACATCTCTACGAAGAGGCTCGGAAACAAAGATGGCGGTGTGCATGAGAAGCATGAAATCAGCACGCGGTCTCTCAATTTTCTTTAGGGTGTTCCAACCCTCACTATTCCAGGCCTCTTCGATTTTATCAGGTCTTTTCCTCATATTCCATTCTTGCACTTGGACTCTATTTTCCAAGAGTTCGGTTAAAACCAGTCAAACAGGCCTATTAAATGATAATTCTTTCCACTTGCTTTTTTTTTATTATCGGCATGAAGGGTTTACGCCGCAGTATGTGTACCTCGATGCAGCAAATCAACGAAGAGGAATGAGATATTGGGTGCACAAAGCATTGAAAAATTTTAAGCGACGCAGGGATGAAGAAGGACCATTTGAGGCACCTCGCTCTGCAAGATATGAATGGTTAGCCAAGGCCTACCAAGAAACTGCAGCTGATTCAAATTTGTGAAATGATCCAATATTGCCCGAACCCATTTGCAGGAATTACAATGCAGAGATCTTTGCCTTTGCTTCTCGCCTCCGTGAGCCCTTCAACGAGGATCTCCTGAGGAGGGCCTTCACCCTTCGATCTTATGTCAACAAGGAGACGGTAAGGAGGGAAGAGCTGGAAATTCCCAGTGAGATCCAGATGGAAGACAATGAGGAGTTGGCATCACGAGGATATGCTCTCGTATCCTCCTATGTCAAGCGGTACCTCAGAACAGTCCTCCGTTTTGTACCTGAAGAAGGAATCCAGTGAGTTTTAAAGGTTTTTTTGCTGGTTTTACCATTTTTTAATGCAGTGCATGTTAAAAAAAGGACCAGCAAATTCTATCTCATAAAATATGTGATCTCACCAGCTCTCTTTTCATATAACTCATAATGTTTATGAATTCATGTTTCTGACGTGCCTTTGAAATTTTAAGGAATGTGGTTTTGCCAAGTCAAAGTTATGAGCAGTTATTCAAGGGAAATTGGGTATTAAAAGTTGACAGGGGATTCCATTCCCTTTGGAATGGAAAGACGTTGCCTGTCTTGTTCTCTGATAGAAACCATGGGACAATTGGAATATAATTTTAGCAAATTCTGTAGTGATACCAGTTGATTCATTCGGGGAAAAAAGGCAGTCCTAAGAATGAATTTCAATTTGGCTAAAAATTTATGTAATCAATAAGTGAAGCATTACCTCCCCTGTGTCCAGCACAAACTTCAATCCATCCTCAACTCAACTTTTCTGTGGTTTCTTAGAGTCATAAAGATTTGGATTAAATTTTAAAGATATTTAGGAGAACCTATTTCACCAATCCACATTTAAATTTTGTGAAAAGAGCTTCAGTGGGAGTAAAGTTCTTTGATATTTTTCTTGCTTTTCCTTGACATCCAAAACTTTGATGTGTGACTCACATTTAAAAAAATGAGTAGAAGGGAAGATAAAATTTTATCAACTTTCTTCCTAGGGCCATTCATGACTACACCACAAAAAGTGAGGTAGTTGCCAATGTTGCTTCTCATATAGGTGTGAAGGATCTCATCCTGTCTGCAGTAAGTGAAGGATGGGCTCAATCTTGAACTTCATTCAAGCAGTTGGCATGTCTTTCAATCTTCTTCTTTCACAGGAATATCCTCCAAATGAGGCATCTCATGTGAAGACATTCTTTGCTCTTGTTGGTGCTCTCGAAGCTTCACAGAACACAAAGCATGCGGAGCTCTTTGTCCAAGATTTCCTCCTCACTCAGTTGGCCGACAAGGACCTGTTCGAAATGTGGGAACTGAAGAATCCCATGGGTCTCTTAGCCAGCATCCTCAAGAGAGAGGGAAGAGGTGAGCCTGAGGTGAGGCTACTGAGGCAGGCAGGCCCTGACACGATCTTGGCTGTCTTCTGGGTCGGCATCTACTCTGATCAGATTCTCATTGGACAAGGTCAGCTTTTGGTTCCTCATCTGGTACATGAAAAGGCATTATGTGCTCTCATATGTGCTGATGAAATAATTGATGCCATAGATGGCTTTTGGAAGTAGGGGGGGATAATAAATGAGAGAGGGTAATTCAGACTGAAATGGTATTTGCTTTGTTCATTAACACATTGACGACAATGCACGTTTTTCGTTTTTTCGCACGTGGGACAGACCCAGACAGAACAGTGATTGTTTCACCAAACATCATAAAAGGTGTTCAAAATTGTTTGTTTTTTGAAGAATGACAAATAAATATTGAAACCAGATTTAACTTGCCCACGATGTTTACAGTATTCTTGGGGGACTATTATCATCGATTAATTGCAAAAAATCGCAGGAAATTATTAAAAGCGCAGAAAAAATAAATTAAAACTGATACGACACACTGGTGGGTCGTATTGTCGTCAATGTGTTAAAATCCTGGGCCTGAGCCTAGGCCTCTTGGCCTTTGCAAGCATATTGACACTCACTGCATCCATCATCTAACCATTCCCATGTTATTTATCATGGATTCACCTTTACTGTCATCTCAATGCTGTGAAAATAACATTGCAGGTCCAGGGGAATCACTGGAAATTGCAGAGGAAATGGCAGCTCGAGATGCTCTGAGGCGGCTGTTCCATCTTGAAGACTCTGCTTCTCCTCTTCCATTTGGAAAACAAGGTCAAGATCTGCCAGTACCTCATGCAGATAAACCCAATTTACCTGCAACCAAATGGACTTCCCTTGAAGCCACCAAGAATGTTGTGTCATGTTAGTAAAATGAAAAGTGTCAGAGTGATGATATAAAAAGAGGTACTTCATTCTATCTGGCATTCATGTCTCAGGTGCAAAATGAAGAAAGAAACCCTGAAAAACCCATTTTGTGCTATTTTCTTTGGTCATTGAAGAAGCTATCAATCATTGATGCAAATACGAGATTCAATCCCAGAATCATTGGATAAGAATGAAGCCATAAAAATAGGTAGCAATGTCAACAGACTTGTTCCCATGTGCTACAAAGAGGCAGTATGATTTTCACAATCACTCTTTTGTACTTATCAGCCTCTACATTGAGCCCCTGCAGCATCACTGGTCTATGAAATCAATGCAAGAAAGCAAAAATAAAATGAGGTCAAGCTTTGAGATCAGTAACCACATTTCCCATCTTGTCTTTGATGCGGATGCGTCCGGAAGCATAGCGTGTTTCCAGTCGTCCATCAGGATACATGATCTTTACGGTTCCATCGGGATAAATCCGTTTCTGGAAGGAGGAACAAGGTTTCAACATTATGCTGGGAAATTATCCTAAGTAAAGGTACCCCATGAACTAAGGGAATACAATCATAATATTCACTCAGTGTTGGGACAAACCAACTAGTATATATCACCTTGCTAGTCATAATAGGAAAATGGTAATGGTAGATTCACTAGGTAGAGGCCCTGGGACTTCGCTAATATTTTCTTCATATATGAACTGATTTCCATAAAGCATTTTCAGCATATGAGGTAATTGTGATCAATTTGTAGTGGAATCAGGTCTGTTTTTAACCTAATTTTATGGAAATTGATTCATAAATAAAGTAAACATTAGAAATCCTGGGGCCTCTACCAAGTGAATCATCCTGTACATTCATGCGAAATTTCCTTCATTATTCAATCAATAACTTTTAAAATAAAAATTTTCTCAGATTAATGGGGCATATTTGATTGAAATTGCAGTAATTTTGGCAGTGGAAAACTCAAGTCATATTGTATATTTCAGCATTTAGATTCCCTTGCAAATAGCAGCTCAAACCATAAAATGTCAGTTGAACTGCTTTAAAAAAAATTTGTTCATTTTTTCCTCAGTTCTGCTTAAAGGCAGTATATGGTAAATATGGTAATTTCATGTACCCTGAAAACTAAAACTGATAAGCAGACCTGGGAAAGTCATGAGAAGATAACAAGAAAATATTTGTAAAATTCCATTTAACCCTATCAACTTTCTGCCTTTTCTGGATTCCATTTGCATGGAAACATTCATAATCTCAAGCAATATGTACAGCCTCAAACTTAAAACATTTTTCCATGATGATACCAGCTGTAATCATGGATTGAATATATTGTCATTTAGCAGACAGTGTCTGGATGCATCCCCTGCTTCAGAATGAGTCTCATGAGTGAATTTATGAGAAATAGGCACCAAATTATTAAAAACAAACAGTTATCAGCACTCCATGGGAACCTGTTCCAACAGTTCCAGTTCCATTCACATACAACAGTATGTGAAATGTATTTTTAAATACACAAATATAAAGCATAATGATCCTATGCTTTTGATCTTTGCTCTGACAATGCCTATTACCTGCATTATAATTCTGCATGCAACCCTGGGAGACAGCAGAATGTCATTATCAAGAAATAAATCAAATCTCAATTAATAAAGCTTAATTAATGAAAGACAGAAAATGTAGCGATAAAAATGCATGTAAGACAGGTTAGGTATTTAATGAAATTGCTAAAGTTGCAACACTGCTACTTTGACCTTTTCACAACCCACCTCTAATATTCATTCAGATAAGTTAATTTCTGTCCACTTCTCATGCAGATGGAATTCATTTTGGAGTATGAAGAGTTTTCCAGAGGAAAAAAAGGACTTGCCTCATATGCATAGCCACCATTCTTGAGTAAATAGCAAAAATTTGAGCAACACAGTAATATAACATTAAAAATATATGACATGAAGACATAACAGACACCAATACGAACTCGGGTCAATTTAAAGTTGAACATATCATGTGCATGTTACTTAGTCTTCAGACCTAGGGCCTGTTCCTCGCCTGTGCTAAACTTAAATCTAAATCTAAATCTAAAAGCAGTCTAAAAGCAAAAAGTCTGTTCTTCGCCCTGACTATTTAGACTAAGATTTAGCCTAAGATTTAGATTTAGATTTAAGTTTAGCACAGGCGAGGAACGGGCCCCTGGTCTCTTACAATGACAGGAAAACAAGCCCAGTCCACATTATAAAAAAACGTATTGACTGATGAGTTGCAAAATGAAAATGTCAGCAATTTGCAACATCCCAAACATCTCTACATGAAGAAAAAGAAAATGTTTAAATAATTGGAAATGATTATGTTCCATTTTCTCATTGCATTAAGTGACTTGGGTGGGTGAATACCTGACATGACATGCCAAGCAGCAGTAAATGAAATTCATTGACTGATGCACCTCATCAGTGAACTCAATTGTCAGATCTTAGAGTATCTACCTTTCCTATGGTAAGGTGACCTCACTTACAAAGAAGTCTTTTCATCATCCACTAATGCAGCATTATCTGGTAATGCAAAAGCCTCTTGATGTAGAATGAAAGTTTAATTTCTGAATGACAGATATGGCATGTCAATTTCAAGAATCTCCACCCTCAGAAACAAGACAAAAGAGGCAAACCTTGTACTCTGGAGTGTGGATCTCCCTTTGTCCATTTGGGAAGGCAATCTCAGTGGTCCCGTTCCGGTTTGTCAGGAGAGTAGTACCATCTGGGAGGCTGGTCTCATCCCGTCCATTCCGCTCGTCTCTAAACTTCACTGTCCCATCAGGATATTTCAACTTCGTTGCACCATTGAGCAACTTTGTCTCACTGTATCCACTGCAAGGGAGTAGAAGAAATGACATACTCAATATGCAGACTTCAATAAACAGATTCAGGAAAGATCTTGTCCATACTTAGGGTACTGTATCAGTTCCTGGCCATCTGGATATGTGGTTTGGCGAGTCTGAGTCTCTTTATAAAAATACTCTATGGTCCCATCTGGGAAGGTCTCTTGAACATCTCCATTATAGTAGATAACCTTGCTGCTCCTCCCATCAGCTGAGATCATCTTTCTAGTCCCATTCTGATAGATGGTCTCTGACCGCCCATCCGAGTAAGAGCGCTGAATGGCTCCATCCTCGTCCATGTTCTCGGTCACTCCCAACATCCCCAAGATCCCATTGTCAGTTTTAGGCTCATCCTCTGTTATAACTGTATTCTCTTTTCCTTGTTCTGATGACAAAAGATGTGAAGGTAGACTGGATAACTCAGGGAGGCTTCTTGCTGCAAGGCCATCCTCAGCATTCTTCACACCAAGGGGCTTTTCCCTTGACTTCTGAGGAGAGGAAAGAACTCGATTCTTGGTTGGAGTCTTCCTGCCAGGGTTCGGCGAGGAAGGGGGCTTCCTATTTTGAGCGATGGCTGATGAGACCTGATTGTTGACCTGGTGCAGCAGTCGGTTGCACATCGGGGCTGAATGTGCCTAAGGAAGGAACCATGCCCAGAATTCACAAGAGCACACCCAAACAAGACATAAAATCTATCCATATTCACTTCACCCATAGCTACCTTTATCCTGAGTTGTCGATTTTCTTCAGATAACTTCCGGTTCTCCTCTCGCAGCTGGTGATTTTCAACTTCAAGTCGCTTCATTGCATCTCGATTCTTATTCTGTTGGGCAGACCACCGACTCTCTTTCTGCTTGCACTCCAACTTTAGATGCTCCAACTGTCACATCAACATTGTATTTTGTAACATGAGAACTCAATGCATGGTTAAAAAAAAGCTACATGTCATAAATAATTTGTTTCTTGGCAGATTCAGTTTCACCCTACTTGAAAATTCCAAGCCACAAAGGGCAAAGTAAATTACTAACACCATATGGCAAATTGAGAAGCCTGAACAATTCAGTGAAAGCTGAATTTATTTTATAATCTCATGATTTCCATCAACATATCAATGGACATCAAAATCATCTGATTCCACATCCTACTATTTCATCACCATTTTCTCCATAAAAAAGATCTTAGTCATTTTCCTCCAGCTTCTGCTTACTTTTATTACAATTTTCATATCCTCAGTTGACTTGAGACATTATCACCTGATCAGGCTGTTTTGAAGAGTTTGTTAAATGAGTAGGATCACATCCTACCTGCTGTCTCAGCTGATCCCCTTCCTCTTTTGCTTGCTTAAGGGCCACTGCCTTCTGGTCTCGCATGTAGCGTTCAAATGCCATCCTCTCTTGAGATATCTTCTCTTCTTCTCGTTTCTTCCTCTCCTCCAGTTTCCGCTCCTCCTCCCGTTTCTTCCGCTCCCATTCCTTCCTCTGGGACTCCACTTGCATTGCATCTCTTCCTAGGGTCTCATTCAGGGACTTTAATCGAGCATTCTCCCTCTGAAATGTCTCAATCTCCCGTTCCAGCTCCACAATTCGGGAATGCAGAAGAGCAGTCTGCATGAACAACTCATGATTGGCATCACCATTCTCAAGGACACTTCTCGATGCACCTGCCACTGAAACGTTGTCTAAGTTCACTGACTGAAGCTCAGCCTTGGTACTGCCATCACCTTGAGAGCCTGCATCAATGTTTTCAGGTCCTGAAGGCACCTTACGTTTCTGCATGTATTCGGCATAAGTCCGCCTCCATTCTTGGGCACCTTTCTCAAGTGATGCAAGCTCTACCTCTCCTGTCTCCCCTTCCAGAGTGATGTCACTATCATCTGTTTCCAGTGACTCCACTCTGGAGTCTTCCTGGATGGAGGAAGATGCAAAACTGTGTTGCAGCACCTCATCATTAAAGCGAACATGTATGCTTTCTTCAATCTCTTTCCCCGTTTTGACTAGACTCTCATATAGACTTTCCATGGAGGCAGTAGTAGATGGCAAGCTTGGTATTTCTACAACATCTGGTGGACAAAAAAATTCCACATTTTTTAATATTATTTTCTGAAGGGTTTGATATTCATGGGTGAGGCTCTTTTGACTCACTTTGATCTTCATCTCCATGCTGTTTGTCCAGGAAATCATGTTTTATTTCATCTCGGAGAAGTTGTGACCATGACCTGGGCTCAAGGTCTCCATTCCCTTTCCCAGACTTCTCAGGGTCTTTGATTGGTGTTGACTTAGGGACGTTGGGCAAACTCAAGAGATTCAGCACAGTAGAAGAAGTAGAACAGAAGCTCTCATCATCCACTGCTTCCTCCAACCTCTCAAAAGCCTTCGTTTCAGCATGCTCCAACTAATGACATCAGTTTGTGATTGAATTGGCTCACATAATGATGAAAACCAGGAAAAACATACTTTCAGTCACTCAAAGTAACTCACCTCTTTCCTGGCTTCAATGGCTTTCAGTTTTTCTTGAATGAAAGGATCAAGCTCAAGCAAATCATCATCTGCCTTTTCATCCTTTGCCACTGGTTCTTGAGAAGAGACAGATGGCTCTCCCCTTCCCACTCTGGCTCGTAATGTTCCCATTTTCCCACCTCTTCCTCTCGCAGGCTTTCTGGTCAGTCCTTTTCCATCCTTTTGTCTTCCAGGTACAGTCTGACTAGATTCCTTTCCTGACTTCTTCAAAGCACTCTGAGAAACCAGAAATCCACAATCTCAATCTACAGCTACAATACAGAAGAGGCCCAAAATATGATACAATTTACTGTAGTAAATCACATGATTTACTGAAGTAAATCATACCATACTTCAGGCAAGGTGGAATAATTATGTTGTCACTTTCATAATAAAGGTTCACTTGATTTATCAATAAGATATGAAGCTCCAGAGTCAGAAATGGGTAAAAACTTATGCTGCCTAAGCACAAGACAGTTATTAGACTGCCAACTTTGACTTTGACTGAAACCCCATCACTCACTAAAAGATTAGGCCAATAAAAAGCTTCAGGTCTCATTAGTTTCTTTAAGCAGAAGGCCTGCATATGTTCCATTTACTTTTCATAATTATTTCAACACTAGTACAAGCCTTTACTAATACCCAGCTGAAGAACATAGAACTTTCAAGATAAGCTTGAACCACTTCACATCATAAAATCCCTAATGGCTAACAGGGATAGGAAACACCAAGAATGTAATTATTCATGGAGGAAGCAGGTGATTTCATTCCTTTACTTCAATTTCCAAAATTCCACCAATCAGTCAAGCAATATACAAACAATATACAAAATGATAAAATCCTGACCAAGTAAAATTATCTTTTTTCTTACTAATTTGACACAACTCTTAGACTATGACCACATTAAGAAATAAAGGAGTCATGATTTTCCACTGCACAAATTGATCATAGTCTGAAGGTGGCTTGCAACCTTTACTCAGGCCACAAATCTATAATACATCTCCCCATTCACAAGAGCAGCAGACATCTGGATATTTTGTAAAAAAAAATGTTGTACATATTGAAAAATGGGCCAGATGTTGATGCAAAATCAAGTAAAAATAATTTCATTGAAAAAAACCTAAGATAAAATCCCAAACTTAAAATACCAAACTGAACAGCTTTCATCCTTAATATGAATAAATTAATATGAATAAAAGGCATTTTCAATTAGAAAGACTTGATGGCATTCAAAGAGAAACTGCATTGCACTCGGGCAATAAAAAAAGCCTCAATCATGCAACATTTGGCTTAGTCTGGGACCTGATGATAACAAATACCCATACAAAGTGACTGAGCAAACATAGCCACAGACCTTTTTTGGCACTGCTGCAGGATCATGACGTGAAGCAGAAATTGGTGCAACTTGGTTCCTCTTTGGCACCGCATCATCGACCATTGCACACAAGACTCTGGGAACTGGAGCAACTTGGTTCTTCTTGGGCATCACTTGTGGAGGATTCCCTCCACTCTTGGGCTTCTTCCAGAAGGGAACCCATCGACCACGAGCAAACTTTTCACCGTAGCGGGCCAGTCCCTCTCCCTTGCGCAAAAAAGGTCTCTTGCTGTTTGTGGGAGTAGCTGGGGTGTCTGCACTGGGATCTTCTTTTAGTTTCTCCTCTAGGAGAAGCTTAAATGGAGCAGGAGAACCTCTTATGGGTATCTCCTCTGGAGTCCTTGTGAGAGACTTATTCTGAAAGTCTCCCATGATGGATGGCTGAAAAGCAAAAGCCCCATTCAGTTTCCAAGAAAGGATAAGCAGATATGGTTCAAGAACCATAAAATGAAATTCAACTGCACCAGGAAATATGCATGGACAGAGGATACACCTCAAGTGGCCATGTCTTAGGAAAAATTTAGCCCTATGCATGGACACATGATCATGACATAGTCATGACGAATAGTTGACACAATTTATCACTTTTTGTTAAATTTCTGAAACTTTAATTGCTTCCATGCCATACCAGAATGTCACTGTTCAACTTCAACAAGTAAAAGGATATATTAAGTATTAATACATTGACCAAAGCATGAAACTTCTTCAATATCATGTAAAGCATGGTTAAAAATAGGAAATCTCTTACAGCCAATCTCTCTGTTAAATGGGGAACAATGAGTTTTTGCACAAGACAAAAATTGGTGGATGTGAGATGTTCACGAGTCATAAGTGATGCTACTTGCTTCTGCTGCAGTGAAGTACAGTGCTCTTGACCCTATTGTAATCCAAGAGAACCCCATGCAAATCTAGCGTACAGATCCTTCACAGATGCAGCAGCATGTTACCTAAATTTGTGCCATTAATGCAGACTCTAATGAATTCTTGGACTCACAGAACTCTGACACATCTTTAAGAAGTTTTTCATATAAAAGCTGTTGCTACTTGTGATTTGGAAATGGATCTGAAAGCAAGGAACTCACTACTTTGGACGGAAATTCAATCACATCCTCTTCTTCCTCATCCATAGAGGAGGCAGAAGTTGTAGAACAGTCATCTGCCACCACAAGGATGTCATCCTGAGAATTGGAAGCACCAGCTACATGAAAGACAGAAGCCAGTTAAAAATGTGACCAGTCCTTTGCCTGGAATACATTGAGGTGCTGCACATACCAAGCCTCAACATGCGAGTAAGGCGTTCTTCTTGGGCCATCTGGAGTTCCCTTTGCCGTTCCCGTTGGAGCTGAAGGAGCTGCTCATGTTGCTCTTGATGCTTACGTCGAAGTTCCTCGAGACGAGCCAGCATCGACTCAGACAGGTCCTCTCCCTCCATGGCCAGCATCTCTTCTCCAACTTTGCATCCTTAATCCAGCTGCTTTTCAGGGTTCCCCATCAGTTCTAAACTGATGCCCCCAAAGCATACTAGGCCCACCTTGCAAGAGACTAAATGCACTAGAAAATACCCCCTTCGTGATGTCTTCTCTACAATATCTAACAAAAAAAGGGAAAATGATAAGTGAATAACGATGGGACTTTCATCTCAAGATAGGACACTCCATCCTTCTCAGTCTTTAGACTCTAGAGATGAATATGCAAGCAATTTCTGAAAATTCAGAAGAGGATTGGAGAGGTAAAAATAATACAAACTGGGAAAGAGAATTATTCAAAAGCAATTGAATTGAATCACAAAGTCACAAAGCAGTTGAAAACCTCAGGATGAATCACAGAAGAATAGTATATAATCCCTGTACTTGCAACAGGAACAGAAGTCCAGCCGAGGACTCGTTCCTCCTATGCTGATCACCTGCAGAGAGAAACTCATATGAGAAGTAAAATCAAAACATACAACACAGCTATCCACTTCAGTGCTGTCATACTGACCTCACGAGGTTGTTTGGCATGAGCGATACTGTAGATGCAATTGGAAGAAGATGGGATATCGAGTACAATCCCACCATTCAAGTTGAAATGGATAAGCCTGGGACTATGACCAGCTGCAATGACCTTCTCTCCTTCCAGCAAACACTGGTGAACTGGACTGTCCAGTTCCTCATACACTGTGGATAGGCCCAGAGATCGAAGATGCCACAGAGATAGAGCAGGCCCTCCACCACATACCTGGTATTAGAAAACAAGAATGTCAAACAGGACAGACCAGGAAGCAAAGGATATCAAAAAGGGTCACGCACTCACCAGCCAGTCATCCATGAGATCAATACACCCAATCCATTTTCCTAAATTTGAACGGTTAACACCCTCCTTCTCGTGAGGATGGAGGGAATTATGCCAAGAGTTCTCTCTTACATCCCAAAGAAGGACATCACCATCTTGGGACCCAGATGCCATCTGTGTATCTCTGAAAGAGAAATTGATGAAACATTTGCTGAACCAGAGTTACATCATATATGACTTATGAATGGTCCACATACAACATTTCAAAGAATAAAGCCAAGTAGGTTAGTCAACATCCAAGTCAACATTCAATTTGAAAGAATCTAAATATGAGGTTTTTGTATAATCTCAAATGAAGGTTTTCCCCTTCAGAATGGCATGAAACAAGAAATTTGAAAACTTCCATCTCCAAGAGACTTCAGCAATCAAAACACATACTTATAGGCACCAATGGCAAGAATAAATTATATTCATTCCAATTCTTATGCCTTTGCTGACTTGCACCCAGAGTGGCCATCTTTACCCATTTCAAAACCAAAGATTAATTTTGCTACTCCTTCCATACGCTGTTGCTGATTGCAACATCATTACAACTGAAATATTTTAAGCTGCTCCAAGGTTATGACTGATTTCAAGGTAGCAGTTCAGTTCTGGTTTCAGTTCAAACTTTGGTCTGACTAAAGTTCCATTCATTAGTTCTCATTAACTTCTATCACAAAGAAATACCAGCTAGAACTGCAACTGAGCTAAAACTGGAACCAGATTGAAAGTTTGAAATCAGCCATGATTTCACCTCTTCATTCTTTTTGGCCTTTTTTATTAATTCCAAAACTAACAGTTGGACTCCATACAGGAGGCAGAAGAGCAAAGGTGATGACTCAGCTCACCTGACGCTAAGACAATGGACATATTCCTTGTGCCCTGCATAGCTCTGCTTTAAAGTTCCAGAGGATAAGTCAAAGGCATAAATGAGCGAGTCCCCACAGCCAGCATACAGAACCTCCCCATTACCATCAGTGCAGAGGGAGTTCACTTCTGGTTTCACTATCGATTCCCTGCAATGTCAACCAAACACCTGCTTTTAAATATAAGCCTAGAAATAGAAGCTAATTCATTGCAACACATCGTTACAGCTCTCACGTTTTTGTGGGCAGTGTGATAGACCAGGACTTCTTGGGCTTAGTCTGTCCAGATTTGAGGTCAGCCCACAGCCATCCATGAATGGAGTTGATCCCACCCACAATCAGGAACCGTTCAGTCGAGGCCATGCTATACAGAGGTCCTTCTGATACATTAAATGTTGAAGCTGGTTGAATGGCATCCTCCATGCGAGAGTCTTCTGAATTTTGATTTGAATGGAGATTCTTCACACTAAAAAGAAAGCACAATGTGGGCCTATCGGTAACAGCAAGCTCTGGATGAAGATAAAGACTATCTGTCTTTACGCTATATCAACTCAAAAGTTTAGGCATCTGGAATAAACATTTGCTGACGATAGACTTAGGCCTACCGCAGTCTCGGTTCAGGCTCTTTCTGAAAATAGGAGAAATGTAATAAACGAAGGCTTTCACGCTTACTTGAACGTTGCAATGTTTCCATAGTTGTTGCCAGCTGCCAGGAGAGAACCACAAGGAGAAAACTCCTGACAGAACACTGTCATATACCACTCCTTGACATTCGCTTTCATGCTTTCAGCGACTATTGAAAGAAATTAAACGACGTAAGGATAGGTTCTGGCCAGTAAAAATTTCGCTGAACTGAGAAACAACGGCCAATTTCTCTATGATTGCTGTGACAAGGCAAAAGCCCATGGAAAAACCACATTGCCGCGCTGAAAGGGAGACTCCATACTTGGCATCAATTATTTATAGGGTTGCTCTCCGCGTACGCTTTCGCCATCTTCAATTATTGTTTTAAGTTGGTTTTATTTGGCATTTATTTTTTTTTTCTCTTGAAACAGCGTAAAGTAAATTCATTCCATTAATTAAAAATTGCGGTAGTTGTCTGTATTTATTTACATTTATTTTTAGGTCGGGAAGTCGTCGTCCGTATTGAGCTAGACATCCGACAACACTAGTTGTCTTAAAGTCGAACTTGAGGCACTCGTCTAGGGCTGAGATTCTCTTCCTTGTGGACAGGAGATTCGGAAAAGATCAGCCCCAGAGCCATACTGATGGTCATTTTCAGATCACTCTCGTCTCCAGAACTGCATGAAAATCGCTTTATAATATCCCATCAGTCACGCTATGGTTGGTTTCCTTAAGCTTGCCGGTGACCATGAACGTAGCTTGGACGGAAAAAGTGGGCTCGGGAACTCTGGGACATGCATTATGTTATCATGCATCTCATGCCTTTTTTTTTTCCTCCTTACTTTTATGTATCTTTTTTTGATTTAAATGTGGGCACACGCCCCCACAAATTAAGGAAAGAAGTAGTCAACTGTAATTTCTTCATTAATTATTCAAGATCCTTCGCACGCGTTAGAAAAGATCAAGCATTTCCGAAAACCTTGAAGAAAATTCGGCTTTGCGGATGATTTGCGCGTGCGTTAATTAATGTGCTAAAGCTATTTTGGGTTGATTTCACTCCCCCCCCGAGTCCACGTGTGGGAGTTAGCAGCTACTGTAGAGTCATGTTCCTCTTCGAGTATCAACTCAGTTCAATCTTTGGAAAATAAGAAAAAGTAAAATAGCGAACTAACTTCAGTGTGGAATTTGTGACAGAATACCTCTCTGCCATAATGGGTTCCTGGGAGCCCTTCTTCATAGCATTCCGTCTTCATAGCATTCCTTCTAGCGTTCCGTCTCTGACGATGAGGTTTCTCGATGTCCCTCTCCGTCTGATGAGCCGCATTGGAGGCATAATTCGTCTCTCTCCAGGTGGATGTCCCTTCGCGCCAGGCCGAAAATAAGCACAGACGAGTCAGAGAGGAGGGGTCATCCTGAACAAAATCGTTCTTCCCGCGCCGAGCTTGGGAAAGAGAATTTCGCTTCATCGTCTCCTTTCTTCGCATTTCGCTATCTCCTTCTCCCCTGTCTGGGCCTGAATTCCAAGAGGGAAATGCTCGCCCTCTGCTCATCACTTCCACAAAGGAGATTCTCCCTTTCCAGCATGATGAAATTACAGTCGGTTAGTTCGTTATCTTCTATATCCAAGGGTCTTCAGAAAGTGTTGCAAAAGTGTCTTGAGATCGGATTATTGTTTAATATTTTGATCAGGACGGATTGAAGAATATTCCCTTTCCCCATTTTTTCCGTAGAAACAATTTTTAAAAAAAATTTTGGCGCCGACATTCCGCGCGATATGCAAAAAACCTTGTCAGCGTGGTTTTCGATCGAATTCGTCCTGTCCCCCTCTCTGTGGTGGAAATGGAAACTTTTTCATTCCTGCCTGTCATCGATATAGCCTCAGTCGGCTGTTTTGAGGAAGCAGGTGCCACTCAGTTGCACGACACATGGCGCCATTCAGATAGGGGTGAGATGGGGAGGGAGTGAAATCAACCCAAAATAGCTTTAGCACATTAATTAACGCACGCGCAAATCATCCGCAAGCCGAATTTCGCAGTTTTATCAGTTGCTTCTTTCATCCCAGTGGTTCCGTTGCTCCAAGTTGAAAATTGAGTCTAGGTGGATTTCGACGTGATTTTCTCGAAATTTAATCCAATCGCGTCTTTTGCCAACCGGAGCTTTGATCGTGCAACACAGTATAAAATACTTTTTTCGTTCTGGCCCTTGAACTCAATCTTCGTCTTCTGAGTTCTGGCCCTTTCGTATCCAGCATCCCGCCATTTTTTCCTTTCCTGGATTTATGCTCACTCTTACGAACGAAAGCATGAAGCATGTCATCTGACATCACTACGTTTTTGTCTGATGTCGGACGGACGGAGGTCAAATTAAGGAAAGAAGTAGTCAACTGTAATTTCTTCATTAATTATTCAAGATCCTTCGCACGCGTTAGAAAAGATCAAGCATTTCCGAAAACCTTGAAGAAAATTCGGCTTTATTGTGGAGTCAGAAAAATAACACTCTTATCACAGCTTGCGAGAAAGTTGGAATGAAACTAGGGGGGGGGGGAGGGGAAATAGCCTTACAATCTTGCATAGAAATCGTAAGAAAATGAGGCAAAGAAGGCACTCGTTGTGCGACGTCGTGGGAGGTGCCAGGTGCTTAGGACCCGATCTGGATCCCGTGCCGCTTGTTGAAGTCCCGGTCGGAGATCGTGGCGAAGATCATGGCGTCCACGTCTTCCGGGTTGTAGTAATGCGGCTGGAATCATTAGAAGCAGAAGAAAATTGTGACTCCAAAAGTTCGGCTCTCGTTAATCTTTTGTTTCGCGAGAACGTCGAAAAGTCGTGGAAACGTCGCGACAGCGAATCTGCAAAGACCAGGGATGGAAAATAACAAACCTCGGATCTGAAGCAAACGAAGATGCCGATCAAGGTTATGAGGGCACCGATGCTGACGAAGGTCGCACCCAAGATCACACCAATGTCGGTCATTTTGATTCCGATATGCCTGCAAACGAGGGGGAAAGCAGCATAATGAAAATCAATCGGCAGATTTGAGACCGACGCCCTCAGATTCAACAAGAACTTTCCCGACATGAGCCTCGAGATAATTTTAGAAACGCACCAAGGAAATAATCGACTCTGAAAGGAGGCACTTCGTAAGTAGCAGGTACTTCGTCCCTCGCAGCCCAACCAAAGCAGGGATGCATGCACTGTGAGGCGATATGCGGCGACCCTGACTGGTTCCGGAGTTTATGCGTCTCCCAGCGAGCGATCGATCGCCCCTGTTGCCTCGCTACGTCCACTCCTGTTTATGCTACCTGGGACAATCGCAAACCCTCTCCCACTCATCTAGCGTGTTCGATCAAATAAGGTCGGAGCAATGGGGGAGGGTGATATGTCATTATGCCAGGGGCTTCATCGATTGCTTGCGGTCGACGCCTCCACTCTCTTCTTGCCTGTTTTTCATGGAACAGGCTCATCGATTGGGGGATAATTAGCGGATACGCTGAAGTCGCCGGTCACAGCAGGCTATTGCAAGAGCAGTTTTTGCAACCGTATTTCACGGGGATCGTAGCAGGGACGTTATTGATACGAACTTCCGGAAGATCCTTTCATTTGTCCTTTGTCGTTCATTATGAGCTCCAAAGAAGGAACTCAAGCTTGGTTTGCAGCACCGCAAATAAACATTTTACTCGCATTGGACGTGTGAATCCTAAGACAAAAATAATATTAAAAAATAAAAGGAACAATGCACACGGTACGTAGCTTGTCACGAGACTCTTACAATGCCAAGTATGCTCGTGAGAAGCGTGAGTGCAACGACCGGCCCTAACAACACGAGTCGGATTCAAAGCAAATCGATTTCCATTTTTTGTTATGCAAGTCGGCGAAGTTCCAATCAGAGTTCAGCTTTCCGAAAGATTTACCTGAATATTTGATTCAACTCGAATATCCATCCACTTTTATTTATTCATAATAATAATCCCCCCCCCCCCGGCTTTCGTTTGTCCTTTGATGCTGCAATAGCAAGAATTTGCATCGTCATCAGCGGAAAAGAAAACGCGCTAGGCACAATTTCAGACCACGTAGAAGGCTTGCAACCGATGTCAGAAACAACGTATCAAGACTATAAATGCCCCTTATTTCCCCTTATAACCCTCTATGAAAGTAGAGAGCAATCGAAGAAAGCCAACGCGACACTCTCCTTCATTTTTGCGAATTAATGGAATTTACTTTTTTTTTGTTTGAAAAAGATGGAATCGGATCGGACTTGGAGCAGGTAAAATGGTGATCCCATAGTGGCAATCCTCTTCCAGGAGAGAGAGCGAGAGAATTCGCGAAAAAAAGAGTGTGCCTTCAAGAATTCTTTGCTCATCACACGCCTTACCGATAGCTGATGAAAAGGCATAACATTACCGTGAAAGAGCCGAACTCATCTCCATTCCCCTTGAGAGATGTCTGAAATAAACGCAAGTCCCTGCAGCCTTTTGCTTTTCTGAGATTTTAGCCTTCCAGATTCTTTGTCACGGATTTCTAGTCGATGATCTGGCTTTCCTCGACCCCCCCGATACTGCGCGACCGGGCAGCGTCACGGAATCGATGGGATCGATATGATACCTGTACCATGTTTGCCATCTTCCTTGGTGACAGGGATATTTTTAGTCTCATAAATACATACGAACCGAACTTTGGGTATTTCCTCCGTGACTTCCGATGTCGTAGACGAGACATCGTTGAAAACGTAATCGAGACAACATTGGAAAAACCTACAGAATTTGACTTTCTTCACGATATCGGAACAATATGGGGACAAATATCGGACCAATATATCCCTCTCACATAGAGGAAATTCCGGGCTACCAATTTTCCTCGAATATCGGTCCAATCGCCTTCCAATTTGAGAGAGACAATGTTGGGATTTCTCGATCGCTCCGATAAGGTTACCATGTCACGAGGCGATTTTTTGCTCTCCGAGTCGGGCAATCATTTCGCCCACAACCACTCACTCAACGTCGTCTTTTCCGAAAGGGGGGAGGCCCCCCCCCCCAAAAAAAAAAAATATATATATATTGAATATATCCCGCACTCGCCCTTCCTAGAAACATGTGAGGCCCCACCCAAGTAGCACATAACATTGACTCAACATCGGATGGAGTTACATTGAATCAACATCCAACCGATATTGATTCGATGAAATGTGATGCAGTAGAGTCTCGATTATCCAAACGGTACCAAGAGCACTCGGATAATTGAAATATCGGAACAAGATCGTAATAGTATGCCTAAATTACGTTCATTTACGTACTTCACGTTCTAAGTACGTTTTATTGCAAATGCGGAAAATTCGCCTCTGATAATACGGAGACTCGGGTAATCAAGACCATTGTATTTGGAAATGAGAAAATTCCTTCGTAAGACACAAGGAAATTCGGTTCCTCGTCAGCGGTCGTGATGAGAGTCGCCGAAGAATCGGCCGGAGACGTCACAGTCGTCAAGCAGGTGTACGACAATCGCAAGACGCAGCCGGTCCAAATTTATCTGAGCAATAAGATGCGTTGGAAAGGCTTTTTTTCTGTGGACTTCCCCCAGGCCGTGGTTCAACGCAATCGCATAGTCAAGGTTTCATTTTGGAATGGGATAAGGGGTATACAGTTATAAGCCTTGCTACACCTGCGAGAATCGCAAATGACATGATGTTAAAAAATGTAAGCTTTTAGACTTTGGTCAATATTAAAATATAGGGTAGCGTCCACAGGCTTTGAGAAATCCAGCTGATCCATCATACTCCAATATACGATGGTGGTTAAATACTTACCTGCATTTTACCTAAATAAATACTTACCTGCATTTTCTATTCTAGAAAATAAATAGGATAGAAAAAAGTCTGAAAGCCTAAAATTGCAGATAGCCCCAATCTTCAATGTGATTTATGCCATGACCAGCTACCCTTGTGCATGTGCAATTGAGTGTGAAGAACATGGCGTCTGATGGTATATCCTCCGGGGTTAAACAGCGTTGTATAATAAAGTTTCACCGGAAAAAGAAAGTGAAGGAGGCTGATAATTTTCGAAGATGACAAGCACAGTTCGGGGAAGACTGTCTAGAGAGGAGAAGTGTATCTGATCGTGCAAGAAATCTCAAGACGGCCAAGAATCCTTAACAATTCCTTGAGCGTGGTCATCCGTCCGAGACTGTTGTGAATCCTGAGAATATCCGGCAAATTGAACAATCGATACTGGAAAATCGTCGCGTCATCGAGCATGATATTGCAGCGGAACTAAATATCAACATTGGGAGAGTCGAAAACATTATCCACACTGACTTAAAGTTCAATGAGGTGACTACGAGATAGGTGCCAAGAGAACTGACATTCGAACAGAAGGCTAATCGAGTGAGCGCTGCGTCGGACCATTTCAACTGCTATGACAAAGAGAAAGACAACATCCTCAACCGCATTTTGATGAGTGATGAAATGTGGATTCATCATTTAACGTCAGTATGAAAACGCTGAGGCATGCAAAGGCGACATCCCAGATCACCTCGGCCGAAGAAATTTGGGACAATGATGAAGTGGTGAAATGGCTGCGCACTCGACCACAAGCATTTTAATGTTTCTGGCGTTCAAGCGTTGCCAAAGCGACGAGACAAGTACGTCCGTGTAGGAGGGGAATACCTCGAGAAGTATGCGTAGTTTGATAGGGATCAGATGTACCATAGATTTTCTGAAATGAGAAGTGCAGGACCTCAGCAGGACAGCAGGACCCTCAACGAGACTCATCAGGCTCTCCACTTATTCAGCGTCTCGCAACCAAACCGTCATGTCTCGGGAGCATGCGCAAAATCTTCCGCTCTGTGATACACTATGAGCCAGCCGATGCATGGAATTCGAATGGCATCGGCGTGCAATGACAGTTCATTGACTTCTCGGTAGGCCGTCGATTACACTTCTTGTGCAGTTGACGGCGTTCGCGAGGACGTGCTCAGTCGCACCCTCGGGGCTCAAGGTCCTTGAGTCCCGAGCACCATATCTCAGATCCGATTGGGTTCAACTCAAAGATCATCTGTTGGCCTCCGGTTTAGCTCGCTTCCACTTTCAATCCATACATGTGGAGAAGCACAGATGAAGCAGAGAATTTCGGTTGGTGGGATCACTCGAATTTCCCGTCCTTCCCTCCCCGGTCAGAAATTTTTCATCGGGCCATCGATGGCTTTTCGTCGACGCGTCTATAAGCCGTAGTTGGGCTATCACTGGCATATGGCTTGCCTTACGGTTGCTTTAAGCCGGCTTATGGTCGGGCATGTCATGTTGGCCCATCATTAGGCCATCTTTGGCTCATTGTTGGGAAACCGCACATGTCCCAACCATAAACCGACTTTTCATAATGCTGAAAAGATATAGGAAAAAAACCGACACGAGTCGCATCCATGGCAATATGCATCTTGGAAAAATTAGAATGCAACCTTTAGCCCCCTCCTGCTCCTTCATCCAGGAGAGATGAAGGATCGGTATTTGGCCCGAGTACCATACAAGGGTACACTCCTATCACCACGACCTAAGCATATCCCAAGCAACACCTTTTCTGGATATTAAGCCATTCAAAAGCGGAATCCCATGAGAATGCACGAGTATCTGTTCCCCCGCAGGAGGTCAGGCCAAGCGCTCCTTACAAGTAATAGACTTTTCAGTGGAAAATTATAAATAAATGAAGTCCTATGGCCTATCGTGGAAAGTAGAAGAATCCTCCCACGGTTCTCCAGGCAGGAATTTCCTGGCTTATTCCAGGGCTAGGTTACATCTTTCAAGATTACAAAGTTCTTTAAGTTAACAGAGGGACACTCTAGATACACTCTTTGGTATTCCTTGACACAGTTTCCCTGTCCCCTGAGTAAAGCTACCTTAGGCTCTTCACTGAGGGTTGACGCTGATAAAACGCTCCATCTCACGCCGGTTTTCCGAACCTTCTCAGCCATCATCAGAATCAATCATTCGCCGAAGATGAGCCAACTTCCCCAGCTGTGGCCTAACGATAAACAAAGGAAAATATTTGACTGGGTCATAATAATAAAGGAGATCGTCCGATATTTTCCGATTCTCATTATTTTCAAAGAACTTGAGCGACTGAATGGCTTACATTATCGACGAGCTTGAATTCCTGCATGCAGGATCATGCTGGCCGTTTCTCCAACTCGTGCAAAACCGACAGAGATAGCCCAATTCGGGGCCAGTGGGGACAGAG